CTGAGTTTAATGGCGTAAAAATATATAGCCTAAAGTATGACGTAAGTGTAGGGCTTTTTAATAAAAAAAAGAATTATTCAAAAATATGCTGTAATTGCTGACATCTTAGGCAACAAAGAAGTGTGTGTTTACGCTTTATTATAATAGAATAGAAGAATAGATATTAAATTATTCTCGGCTTATAAGCATATTATTTAGTTGTAATGTCATATATAAAAATAATTAAACTCGACAAAATACGTGCATTACAACTTCGGCTATCAAAGCAGTAGTTTCAAACCCATAGTAATAACGTTAATGCATTAGACGCTTATTTAAAACCACTCGCTAACATAAGTTAACTAGTGTTACCATAAATAATTTTATTTCCGGAAAATATTTTTTTAAACTAATTTTATTCTGTAGTTTTGCACTCCATACCGTACGAGTACAAACATTTACAAAATAATTAGTTAATATTATTATAATTAGTTAAGATAAAAAAATATTACGTAAAATTCTTCTATATTATATAACAAATGTATTAAAAAGAAGCCTCTACTCATTTTAGACAAAAGTGTTTTTGTTTATGATGTTAATCTAGTATAATAAAAGTTTAAAATTCAAAATAAAATTAAAAGTACAATAAATGTGGTAATCCTAAGCCGTAACTTAAGCGTCATAAACTTATATTAAGTTAATTTAATGATTGCTATGCCTTATACCATTTTTTTAATTTGAATTGGTCATCTCTCAGTGTGAGCACATTTTTAATATTATTACTCGTGTGAACATAACTACCTATCCACTTATGGTATACAGGAATTATAACTTAAGAGTAACATATGTTTATTGATATCTATTTGGCATATTACTACTCTATTAATCTATCTAATGAGATAAGGATAGGAATGGAAAAAGGATTTGTCAAGGTAAAAATTTGTCAGGAAAATGAAATAAAAAAGTAATCGTTTTTTTTTCCTTTAATGATAGACAATGCGTAATACACCTAGTTACCTAGGTACGCCTCAATATTGTTAAGTTATATAGCTTTCATTAAATGAGAGAAAAAAACATTTATCTCTGTTTCTGGAGGTTTCATACCTTTTTAATATCAGCCGTGTAAATGTAAACGTTTACGGAATGGAAATAAAAGAATTCAAACTCGACCACACGTCGCAAAACTTCTCCGATGGTTTCACATAGCGAAATCGTAAAGGCCACCATAAAAGTTGATACCTAAGCAAGATCCCATTACAAGAACCTCGGCCAGTGTATTGCCATTTACAGTTTTACTGTTTAACTGTTTATTGCCTGTCGACTTATCCTATTTTCGAATACTTTGGATTGTGCGACTTGATCCTTTTGGGATTTCACGTATTGGTAATATCTAATTGTGAAATAAAATCTTACTAATGTTATAAATGCCAAAGTTTAAATGGATGGAGGTTTGTTAAAGATTGTAACATGAATTGAACTGATCTCGATGAAATTTGGCTTAGGTGTAGAGTATAGTCTGAAACACATGGAACACTTTTTTTTTAATCCAACGCGGATGAAGTCGCTAGCTAAAGCTAGTAAAGTATATTTCAATAATGGAGTGAGAATTCAATTCTGTTAATTGTATGGAGAAGAGAAAGTGATAGATTTTACCTATAGGACATGTTCGATTAGGAATTTTAATAGCTAGCGTCGAGAAGGTAAGTATGTACTCGCCTTTACAGAGTTCATGAAATAAAGGTTTCTTACTGCCATAGGTTGTTTAAAATTTACTCTTAAAAATGTGGAAACCGTCATATCCAATATTAACAGCATGACTAATGATTTCTATGTAGTATAAAGAAATGATAGCTTATTAAAAATCTTCACTTAATAACAGCTATATTTTACGATTATTTCTGATTTACGTAAAACGTTATGAATTGGCTTTTGAATTATTATAATTGTCTATAAATGCATTAGTTACTTTAAGCTTAAGTGCCTCCACCAATATCGTAAATTGAATGTTCTGGAATATTGCCACAGCTACGGAACTATGTTTTATCATAAATGATTGATAATAAACAGAATTTGTTAATATAATTTTTATACGTTGAAAATTTCCTCCGGTTGCCAAATAGCAGGATATGTAATTTTTTTGGACGACTAAACTTTTATATTTAAGTAATTTTCTTATAAGTCTGGATTTTGGTTTTTGTAAATTGGAAGATCGGATCTCGAATTTATTCCATATTTAAGAATTGATATTTTTCCTTGAAATCGTTTTAATCTTTTGCCTTAATTATTCTTATTGTTTACATTTTATTGTCTTAGTGTTGTATATTTTTAAGGCAAACTTTATGTTTTCATTTATAAGACATATAATTTATCATGTTTTTATCCGTTGTCTTTGTCATCACGTGCGAGAATGTTTTTATTCAGATTAAATTATCTTGACTGGAACATCTTACATAATAGTTAAGATAGATACCGAAATAGATAGCGTTTATTTACCATACCTAAAAACGTTATGCGTTACTTAATAAAATTTGGCAATCAAAACTACGTCCTCAAAATTCCCATAACAAAGCACATCACTAGAAAATCATGTACATTGTTATAACATACAAAAGTTGTTATTTTTTATGTAGCTACGTTAAATATTTTTCGTGCATTCATTATAGTAATTATCGCATTACCGATACATCTTAACATATAACTAGTTTGCAAGCAACCTGTTTCTATCCCCGCGGTGTTACTCGCCGATTTCGTTCCCGGGAACCTGTTACTGGAATTGATTATTCCCGCATTAAACCTACTGGCTTATCTTTTAAGTGTTTATCGTATTCTCGTTACATATACTTGTATTTTTTTGTACTATAAGGAAATGACGGTCCTTCAAGGCGTGCTTAACATTTATTCAATATTTGCCAACTCATCTGCAGTTCCTCTGTTATTGAACGTAGTATTATCAGATTGTTGTCTTTTAAAAAGGCATTTTTGTAACCAAAATAATCTTACATTGTCTGTATATCTTTTTATCCGTGACACTCTATTTCTGCAAGGGAATACCCTTAGTGTCAAACGTCATTGTTTGCTTTAGAAGTATACTCGTGATAAAAAACTGCGTAGATAAAGATTCGCGCCGAAACTATACCATACGTAAGCAAGTCAAACAGGATGTTGCATAAATGTATATCATAGTGTTGTTTATGGCTCACCCTGTAATTTGTAAGTCAGTGGACATATTCACACTTATAGGTGATGTATTGTATGCATGTCAGTTCCTTGATGCTAATAGCGGTGTTGGATATGATTGCCCGCTATAGAAATGGATTAGAATGGACAAATAATATTTATATATGACAAAAAATAGTTTTGGTAGTGCTAATGTATTAGAAAATAGACATTTAAACTACTGTAAGGAATGATAAATGATTTGTACAAATTAAAAATAATAGTCACGTCACTCGGGGGTAGTCAGATACCATAGACATCCATTTGACGAGCTCACATATTACATGTAGGTGTTTTTGAAACCGCACTTTTTAAAAATTTCGACAATCTGGAAGTCCTTATAATAATAATAAACGGTAAAAAGAGTATAAACATTTTCCCAAACTTTACTCTGATTAAAAATATTTCTTATTCAGGAGTAAATTAAAACTGTAGTGAAATATCGTTTATAGAAGAGAAAGAAATAAATAACCATTAATAGTTATAATTTAATAGAAAGCAAAAGAATTGTATAACATATATCAGCATTAACTAGGTTTCTTAGCCCTTTAAAATTAATCCCATTCTACCCGTGGGCGTAGATTAGACACTTTATGGTTAACATTTATTTTTACTGCCAAATTAGAATACGTTGTTATTTCGGATTATGTATTAAATCACAATAAAATTTATTTCCGTTTTATTTTATACGTCTCTTATGAAATCTAAGTTTGAAAATTATTGTAATTAATATAACTTTTAATAATTAGTGTAATATATTTAAAAACTTACCTTTGTATGAGATTCTAACTTACTAATTTGTTTGGGAATTAAGAAATTAATGCGGTGTTTAACCTTGCTGAGATTTAATTAAGCAAGTACACTTCTCTGTTTAGTTTACAATATAATATTCGGTTTTATAATTGCTATTGTATAAATTGTTCTCTAGTATAGGAGTTCCACACGATATACAGAACATAGTTAAAGCAGTTATTGCTCTAACCACTTGTAAAACCATTTCGTACGTTAGCCCTAGTTAATTGCTTCAAGCACACGTTCTCTTAAAAATCACGATTTACCTTACACTGGCAGGTTTTTAGAAAAGAATGTTCATTTTCATCGGGAAAATGCGGAATGTACCCTCTAGATATCCTTAGCGAGCGTACGCTCATTAAAGCAGGCCTATTAAACAAAGAGCTCTAGTGCTTCGTAACTCACGGCATCATTGACATGCATAACTCTCCTCGGGCGTGTCGGTTGACATTATTCATATTGCACCAAACCTCTACTTGTACATACAAACTGACAAATGCATTCTATGTAGACGATACTGCGTGTGCGCAGTGTGGCGCGTGACTATCGTCTGTCAAACAAATAATGTTTTTTTTTAATACATTTGCATTTTCTTATAGAATCAACGGTGTTTAATATTTTATATAAGAAAATAGAATGTTTTGATGTAGATATTGTCCTATACAATATTTATGAACGGTTACTTAGAAGTAAAATATGGTAAATGAATTCAGTTAAACATTATTTTTGTGTTCGTTAAAACAATTATAATAATATTCGTTTCATCTGAAATATTTAAATTAAATCGATGATAATTAAGACAAAAGTACTTGTATTTTGTTCTATAGTAAATGCGTTCCCGAGGGGTTTTCTCAGCGATACTTGGCTTCGGGCCAAGAGAGGCTGTCGACGTCACTTGACAAGCTTCTTGACCCGAAATACGCGGACGGCAAAATATAACTGCGTAAAATGGCAACTTTGCCATCCTCATATTACCAGGGTGATGTAACTAATTGTTTTCTTTTTCTTTACAGATCTAACTCTGCACACAATCAAGCGGGACGCAACATTAGTTTAAGTTCAACCTGACAAAAGTTATCTGTGATCTCATTTTAGTTAAGTCGAAATAAAGGGTGCCTAATTTAGAATAGTGATAAACGATCCAAACATTAGCTTATGTACATCCGGCTCGAAGGACCATAATCAGTGAGTTACATTTGTGGTAGAAACAAAATGGAATCGTAGTGCGTGGTCATGGATAACAGATAGTGGTGATGGATAGGTGTTGAAGGATGGGATAATGGAAGTTGGGGCGCTGGGTTCTTGAAAATGCCTCATGCGCACTCGAGTTCCGCGGCGAGCTCGGGCGGCGACGACCTGGGCTCCACGGATGAGGTGAAGGTATTCAAGGACGAGGGTGACGGGGAAGACGAGAAGCGTAGCTCCGAGAACCTTCTGGAAGAGAAGTCTAGTCTCATCGATTGGACCGAGAGTGAGGTGAGTTTTGAACTATAACATTTTGCTTATTTAAAAAAGTTGCATAAATTTAGTTGCTGTAAAACGTTATATGGGTGGTCATACAAAAAATGTATCCGTCCAATTGTGTCATTAAATTAATTGTCCGTCTATTAACAAAAGTGCAAAGTAAACGTACAATTTCACGTGGCGCTTACCTTGCATTGCATCGCCCGACTCCCAGCGGGAGACGGCTCAGGTAGCTTTCTATAGGAATTCTTCCCGGTATAACGCCAATGGATACAATCGCAAATTATTCACGTACAAAATTGTTAATAAAGTTATGTCATTCAATTTTAACGTTTATGTCAGTAGATACAAGGTTCTGTTATATGAGAATCTTATAAGTGCAATGTGACGAAGTAATATTTTTGTATAGAAGAATTTGACGCGCCGACTTCCATCAAGTTCATCGCCTCCCGCTTTTTGTCCCGCACACATGAGTGAGCGGATCAATTAGTTATGTTTACTGCACAAGGTGTGCCTCATTTGATAGCCATTTGATGTCAAGAATTTAGATAAAGTATTGTTTATGACGGCATCAAATTTTTATACGCGCTCCGCCCGACTGTTTAATATTCATACGTAGACGCGGTAGTCGACCTCATTATGTCCAATTCTACGCGTAGATTAACATCGGAACTGTTAACTGTAATGAGTAAAGCACTTAATTATCAACGAACGTACCACAAATAACCAGAGATAGGCATCGAAGATTAAGATATGCCTTCCTTTAAATCGCAAATTGCCCGTAAAACAAACAAAAACAACCGCAAACAGCGAAACTAACGTAAAACCAAAACAAGCGATTGAACGGGCGCCGTACAAAAAATTCACCTTTCCCGAAATTCATGTAAAATATTGTATGGACGTCTACATAAATTACTCGCTCATTGTACCATTTCCTAAAACTCTATTATTCGCTAGCTGGGGGCGCGTATACAATGAAACTCTACCTGCATTTCGGTATTCCTTATAATAAACACGGACTCCCACCGCTTTTGTCGACGAATTTACCTGTCGCGAGAGGCGAGAGGCGAGCCAGTGCAAACACGACGGACAGATGAAGTGCACTATAAACACCCGTCCCTATTTCCCATTCACTTTTATCCGGTCGTGTGATAAGGACAAAAGAATGATTTCTACTGGAATTTCGAAGCGTCGCAGTCACGGATGGTATAAATATTGGATTATACTTAGGTGCAATTCTGTTTTGTATGTCATAATGGTATCGATTATCGTACGTGATGCCATTACAATACACATTGTGAGTGCTCGCTGCGAATGATTTCTTTTTTAGATTATACCTCTCGTCCGGTCCGGGATTGGATTCCGTGTTAGAGATATTCACGCTAGTTCGAGTTTTGAAAACATATTCGAAACTGCGATGATGTTTGGGTTTGTTCGAATCACTTGTTACGCTGTTGTATTTTTTATATAATTCGGTATTGTACATGAATAGTTTTGTTTACTAATGTTATAATTGGATAGTACCAAAAAAGTTTGGACTTCGAGTTGTCCTTTACAATTTGAGTTTACTATTTCAAGTATTTTTTACGATTCTTAAGACTTATTCTAACATGGTTGTCACTTTAATTCATGGCTTTATGATGGACGCTTGGATATCAGAGCGCATCTCGCTGCGGTCTAGAAAAAGTCAATGTCTCGAGCGATATCCGTTGCGGTTGCCGTATCAGTAATCATACCAGATGGGCAACTGAGACAAAATCACTTGCAACTAACCACTATGTAGAAATATTATAAATTTATATTTCGAAAATATATTAAACTCTTAATATCGTACTAACACGTTAGTCCAAATATTTTCAATAAAATAATTGCTAATTTACTAAATTCTATAATAAGCTTGAATTAAAAAAAAACAAAAAACTAAAGTTTGAGGATATACCCAACTGATTTTAGGTTATTTCTCAATCCTGGTCACCCTATTAGTGTACATTTAATCTTTAATAATGTAGTGTTAGTAATGTATGACTAATTCTATTAAATCCTTCATTCATAATATTAATATTTCCATTTAGCTTTATAGTAAACGTCATTCTCTCGTATATTAAACGGTTTTAATGCTAGCTGTTGACATAGTTATCTTTTCCATTATTGAGCTACTGAATTTGTTTAGTCTGTACCGCACGCGTCTAAAATCACGTCTATATATAGAGAACAACGCGGCGTTGTCTGTACCCACTTCCGTCCGCCATTTTGGATACTGGGTTTCTCGGTAGAGGGCGCTGTCAGGACGCTGAAATGTGAGACTGAAAGTGGGTGAGTTTGGTCAAACTAACATACATTAAATAATACTTTTAATTATGTTTATACAGTTGGTCATGTTAATATATAAAGCTCTGTCTATTGATGCCCTTGGATATACTGGTTTTATTAAGAATAATTAATCTACTTTGTGTAATCATTAAATTATCGAAATATTGATATACTTGTAACATCCATTTACATAAAGGAGGAACATGTAACTATGAATTATTTATAATTTATGTTTTGACGAAAACAAACCAATTAATCTATATACATTTTATCTCACAATCAGATACATAAGGCATAAAAAGTTTAATGTCCCACACATCAGTATTAAAATATTTTTAAATTCTAGCTGTGGCTCGCGATTTCGTCCGCGTGAAATTAAAAAAATAATAATAAAATGTACCATATGTTACTTACAGATAAATTATCTCTCTAACGGTGAAAGAATTTTTAAAATCGGCTCAGTCGTTTTTGAGTTATTTTAATACATACAAAAATACAAATCTTAACTCTTAATAATATTCGGATAGATTTAGTTGTTTCTTTAAATGTTCATTCGAAAACTTATCGTGTTTCCAAAAATCTGTTTAATTAAAACATTAAAAAGTCATTAAAGGTGTTTTATTTACATTACTTTCACAACTTATTTTGAAATTTATACCACGATTTAATGCCAAATCGGTTGCAGTTTCGCAACAGCTATATAAAGTAATTTATAAGACTATTGTAAGGAGACATTAACAACGCCTTAACTCAAATCCCCATATTAATTCGGCCTTGGCGCACATTTGGTTAATTAGTATTTATTGCATACTGACATCCCGGCTGGACTCGGCTTAATCTGACGGCTTATTCTCTTTAGGATCTAATCCACGCTAGAATTTTGTCAGTTAAAGCTAACATTTAAATCATTTATATGTAGCTCGCTTAGGTCTGTGACTCCGTCCGCGTGGAATTGAAAAAATCAAAAGTGAATAGCCTATGTGTTCTTCCTGACTTATCCTCTACATCTGTACCAAATTTCATCGAAATCCGTTCAGCCGTTTAAGCTACAAACTCTAACAAACATCCATCCATCCATCTAAACTATCACATCATACTTCATACTAATGTTATAAATGCAAAATTTTAAATGGATGGATAGATGTTTGTTTGTTAGAATTTGGTACAGACGTAGAGAATAGTCTCGAAGAACACATAGTCTACTCGCTTTTATTATTTCTAATTCCACGCGGACGAAGTCGCTTGCGAAAGTAAGTTTATAACATTAGTAAGAAGTAAGATTAGTAAGATATTTGTTTATTTCAACCTGACAATCGTGTCAATTAGTTCTTGCATTCTTAACCAAGACGTCTCACAGACTGTCAAAAGACTTGCTAATTCTCTTTATATTAAAGATAGTTAATCATTTGCATATATTTCATTCGAGATGAGTATAATTATATGAATTAATCGACAACTGAAACTGACAGAGTTGTCGCTACCTTGCTACATAATTGAGCATAACTATCGTAACATGGTCGCGTTGAATCGGCTCCGACAGGCGTTTATACTCGCCCCGGGGCTTGCGTGTGTCGGCTAGTAGCTGTTAAATTTTATGTCCCCGTCTAGTGGTCTTCATTCATGCGCATCCTACTTGTTTATGATAGCCTGGTATTTGCAACTTGTTAACTGTTACAATATGTCTTTACGTGTGCTTGTGTGTGTATGTTTTAAACTGGATAAAAAGAGTACCGCCTTAATTGAAAATTGAATTCCTTTTTTATAATGGCATAAATTGGTAATATCCTTTATTAATTACAAGGTTTTGTTCGCGGCTTCGTCCACGTGTTATTAAAATAAACAAAAACAAGTTGCCTATGTGTTCTTCCAGACTATCCTCTACATCTGTACGAAATTTCATCGAGATCCGTTCAGCAGTTTAGGCAACAAACTCTAACAAAAATCTATTTATCCATCTAAACTTTCAGTAGTTCTAATATTGCCTAGAGCCGTAAGCCAAGGTAAAGTTCAATTATTGTACGATTATTCTCAAAGATTGTGTGTGATTATGAATTGAGGGAGTGACTAATGATAGTTTATTGGAATATTTATTTACATAAAAAATTAAATATTGCAATTTTCAATATCTGAATCGTCAAGTAAAGGGCGTAGCAGAAATTTAACCAGTTATTATTTCACAGAACCGTATCGGTGCGTGGGATTACAACATATAGGTACTTCCTAATTACGATTCGCGGATAGAAGCTGTTTGTTTCTACGTAGGCAGTCGCAATGGCCTGCATAGCTTTTGTATTAATGCTATAGGGAGTCTGGAAATGGCATTGTAATTACGTTGATGTACCAACAAGTGCGCTCAACGATGCTTTTCTATTGTTATAGAGCGGATTTTGAAATGGATTTTTTCTACTCTTTGTAAATGCGTCGAAATAGCTGCGATTGGTCTGTTTTTTAATATCTTGCGGTTATCGCCGATGAATGTAAGGAGCTACCTTGCTAGTCTTGCTAAATTGTTCCTTAGAATATTTTACTAAAAGTAAAGTTACTTCAGTCACTCTTTTATAATCTTTGAGAGATATATGGAAAATATTGACACTTCTATAAAATGTATGATTCAGACTTTTGCCCGTGACTATCCACTAAATTAAAAAAAAGTAAGTAGTCTATGTGTTCTTCTAGACTATCTTTTATATCTGCCAAATTTA